AATCGATAAAGGTATACTTAATCGACTTAGTTACAATTAGTAGCGAATAGGGGGGGGCTACTACTACCTATTATATAGAGTTGTCTTCGTGTTACTAAAGAGGAAGAGGTTATTAGAGGAAGAGTTGCTTCCTTATATATCCTTAGGCGTTGGTCCTGCTTTACTTTGCGGCCTATTAGTTAGTAGCCTTAATAGCCTAAGTTGCTATATAAACCTCTGTTAGTTCTGTAGTCTATAGAGTTTAGTGAGTCTATCGGCTAGTATGTCCTATATAGCTAGGTATTTATATTAAATCCTTCTAGCCTTATGTTCTTGCCTTACCTAGCACTAGTAAATATCTATATAGCGGAGCTTCGTGTCCAATTTGCTAGCATTAGCCTTAATAATACGGATAGTCTGTGTATTGTTACAATATAGTATAGGAGTCTTATTTAAGGTAAGCCCTATATTAGCGAAGAAACGCTTCTACTAGATCATCTCTAATCCTACATGTAACGCTGCAAGTAGCTCTGCTTCTATTGTTGACTTAGTAACAGTTAACTATCGTACTGCCCCCTAATCGACTAGTCTATTAAACAGGCTAAACAACTATCCTTCTAATAACTGTCTAGTCCCTTTGTAGTCCCTATAAGAGGCATTAGAGGCACTATAAAACTTATTAAGCTTATAGATTAAGTATGCCGTAATTGTTAGTCTAGCATTATTATATTCTAGGCACAGGTCCTTTGTCTAATAAAGGTACTTAATGCACTAGTTAGCAGCAGCTATATCTACCTGTCTAGGGTTCTATAGAGCTTTTAATAGCAGTAACACTGCCTTAGCAATGTCTAGTCTTGTTTGGACGGCTACAAAGTTGAGTGATCTAATACGGCTCTAATAGGCTAGTATCGCTATAGGATCGAGGTATATTGTGTCCTCGCTAGGTTCTAGTTTCTTATATAGCTTATATCTAGTTAGCAACGGTAACTCGGCTCTTCTGCCAACGTTAGTAATATTGTATCGCTAAGCTATCTTCTTAATGTAGGTCTTCTAAGATAGCTAGAGCTGTCGTATAGATCGATCTCGCTTTACTTTAATACTAAGGAACTATAAGAGCTTCCCTAGGTTATTAAGCTCGTATTCCTTTATTAGCTTCTACTTTAGGTCTATTGCCTTCTATTTGTATTAACGGTAATACAATAGCACTATATTATCTATATAGAAGAAGATGAATATATGCTTGTCTAGGTCGGTATATAGGCAGTCTACGTTGTCTACTAGTTGCATACTAAGCTTGTTTTCGAGGGTAGTTGTAAAGTAATTGTACTAGAGCCGAGGAGACTCCTATAGCCTATATAATACCTAAAGTAGGCGTAGTACCTTGCCCTTCTATGCAAAGCCTTCTAGTAGTCTTAGATATAGTATATAGGGCAGTATAGCGTTAAGAAATGCATTTACTATATCTATCTGCTTAGCCTCTAGATCAAACTTTGCAATAATAGCTATTAGGGCTCTAAATACCCTTACTACGAGGGTTAACGTATAGGTATCTAGGTATGTGCCCTTCTATAGGTCTCCTCTTATATAGACTCTTGCTTTGAACTTTACTAGCCGTCTATTCGCATTACCCTTATATTTGAATACCTAGGTAAGAGGAAGAAGGTTAGGCTTGTCTAGTGTATTAATATCGACCTATTTAAATGTTCCTATTTTAAGCGCCTTATTGAACTTAACTATTGCAGCGTGTATCTAATGCTCTTTAAACCGACTCTTTAACACTTAGCGCTAGTTACGTAGCTCTACTAGCAGGTCTAAGACTTTCGGAGTGAGAGTCGGGTCGTCTTTATTACGAGGAAGTAGTAGAGTTTCTAGTAAAGGTGAATTAGGCGGATTAGGCTTATTAGATCGGGTAGGCTGTACGAGGCGTGCTTTATACTCGGCGGCTATATAGAGGTTACTAAATAATAGAAGGTGCTTTGCTTGTTCTCGATTGCTAACATTGTAGCGGATCGCGGCTGCTCGTTGTCGCTTGTTTAGATAGTTAATACAGTAGTGCGGTCTACCTAGATTTAGTAAGTAACGATAAGATACATTAGCGGCTTCAATTGGTATTAGCAATTTAGCTAGCTTAGTACGCAGCAAGTTAAAGTCTATATTATCTATATAACCTAGTGCGTCTACATTGTTAGTAGGGGCTTTATCGCTAGCATCGTTCTTAGGGGCTCCTTATTAGACTAATTTGTTCAATATATTATTACAAGGTAGCTAAGTGTTATTTAGTTTAACTAGAAAGTCTTGTTGCTATATAGGCTGTTGCCGACTTATTTCAAATAGTCGCGATTGCTTCGGTACTAGGCTAAGTTGTTTAACTAGTAGCGGCATTATTAGTGTTTCTTGGACTAGATCTGCTAGCCCTATAGAGTCGACAATTATTAGTCTTGCTAGATCTTGCTTAGGGGTATATAGTGCTAATAGCCTCTAGGTAGTATAGTTATTGCGTAGATATAATCGAAAGCGTATACTACTAACAGCTCCTTTATTATTAGATAATAGGTAGATGATGTCTCTGCTAATACTGCGTACAAATAAGGCTAGCTAGCTCTAGCATTGTAACAAGGTTGATTCAGTTCGATTACTAATAGTCTAACTAAAGTAAAGTCCTATATTCAAGTCGTAGGCATAGAACAGGTGTCTATTGCTATTGTAGGCCGTGTCCAGCTCTATTAGATTAGCGGCAATATAACTATATAGAGTAAGGATAGAAACGTCGTGCTTTCGTAGCCTTCTAGAAATAAGCTTCTTACCCTTAGCCTAAGTATATACTAGATATAGCGGCGTTCTTAGAACTTTAGTATCGTATAAGAGATCTCGTATTATTCTATTAACCCTATTAGCTAGCTCTTTAGCACGTTCTGCGCTTAGATATCTAAACACTTTATGTATCTTCTTAAGTGTTAATTGCCTTAGTAGTAGTAGACGTATAGAGCGTCGTATAGTAAAGTTGCCTCGCTATATAAGTTAGAAGAACGGATAACTTCGTAGTCGGCCTTTACTGTCGATTAGCTATAATTTAGGTAGTAGGTTGTCGTTAACCTTGCTCTCTATATCGAAGTAGGGCATATCGTTATCTAGCCTAATGAATTTGACTAGGGGCTTGCCCTATAGGTTATATAAGGTGTTATCTATCTCCTAATGTCTAAACCCCTTATAATAGAACAGTATTCTACTAACAATATTAGTACAAAAGTTAGGGACATAGAGACATTCTTTTAGTTCAATTTCTAGGGGACTTCCGCTAGTGTTCTTAACTGTGAATAATGCTGTTCCAATAGCAAGGACTCTATTGTAGGTCGTTCTAGTAGCTACGGTTGCTCTTAGTAGAAGGAAGAGTGCCTTAAAGTTGAATCGGCTAGGGCAATTAATAATGTTACAGTTTAAGCTACTATTATATATCAGTCTATCGCGTAGGGTCTATTTGCCCTTGTATACGATTATTAATATATAGGTAGTTGGATTAGTAGCTAGAGATGCTAACAGTAGCAAAGGGTTACGGAAGCAGGCTACTAAGAGCTTTCCTAAACTATCGCCCGTACTAGCATTATCCTTATTACGCCCCTCGTAGTGTTATTGCTTAGCAATCTTAATAGCTAGGGGATCTTTGTAGAATTTAGCTTGTCTTAAGTAGAAGTCCTTATTACGGCGAAGGCAGCCTTCGTAGTGCTTTAGCTTGCTACGCTACTAGCCGTCTTTGTCCTTCTTATCTACCTTGTTACGAAGACGATAGTTAACTACTAAGCACTTCCTACGATTCTTATAGGCCTTCTTCTTACTAAGGCTAGTAAGTTTAGCACATAATTTAGGCGTACGGCGCTTGTCTTTGCTCTTGTCCTTAATAGCATTGCTAGTAGCTCCTTATAGTATAGTATTTGCTTAAAGTGCGGCGCTAGAACCGTTGTCTTCCTTATAAACTGTGCTAAAGGAAGACCCCTTACGAGTCGTTATAGTACTAGCTATGTTCCGAGCATAGTCTCGTATTATGCTAATTAGGTAGTAGAAGTTGTTAACTGTTAGCCCTACCTAGTGCATTATATAGAGCCCCTTGCTATAGGTCTTATCTACATTCGTAACTACAGTATACAGGTAGGTTACTAGGTTGTTAAATTCCGGGTATTATATACGCTTTATAGTTTTGTATAGGTTAAGCTATTCCTTATACTAGTGCTCGGGGTCCTTTACCTGTTTAGAGTTTACTAGACGTTGTAGCTCTTTAGAGTCTTTACTAAGAGAGGTTCTTTGCTATTGCGTATTAGGTGCGAGCTTGTTCTTCAATCGAGTTAGAATAAGCCGTATAGTTAGTACTACGTTGTCTATATTAGGATTAGTAATCTCTAAATAATAGCCAATGTCTATAGTTATAGCTAGATATTCAATTGTCTTATTGCGAGCTGTCCTAAAGCGTTTAAACTCCGTCTTCCTTATATTAAAGTGTTCCTTAGTAAGCTTTGCCCTAGCCTAATATAGGGGGTTGCTTATAAGTTGTTCTATATCGAACTCCGGAAGAAGGGGTTGTACTAGCTTAGTAGGTTTAGTCGAATATAGGTTAGTAAGAACCTAGGTCTTATATCTAGTTAGGTACGTCTTAGTTTGTTTAAACTACCGATCCTAGTCGTTAGGTCTACGAAGGACAATAAGCTTACTACTACTAAGGCGGCTAGCTAATAAGAGGGCTATTAAGGACATACTAAATTCGAAACAATTATAGAGGCTTATAGAAGCTTAAATAGTTATTGTTTGTAGTGCCGTTAAGACTATCGATCGATTGTTAAAGGTCTCGTAGGATAGAAAATTCTTTCCTACTATAGAAGTCTCTAATACCGCGGATTAAACCCGGGCTTATAACTATTACGTATAGCGCAGTAGATTACTTACGTAATACTGTATTGCCGGCGGTTGAATTGGCTTCGTTAATTGCCTATATTCTAGTCTATTCTATAGTCTAAAATACAGTGTAAAAATTCTTCATGCCAAGATGTTACGTGTCTGTCATGTGATTGAGCTAACGCGTCACAGGTTGCTGTTGTTAAGCTATGAAATGCCCTTGCTGCTCGAGCAGCCTAGGAAGTCCTTGTTTCTAGAGGCTCCGAAGAGGCCTTCGAAGCCGGCTGAAGGAGTAGAGGTATTGCTCCTACTGCCGAATCGCAAGGAGTTATCAGTCTTGTTGGCGGTGTTAAAGCTGCTGAAGCTACTAGCGAGGTTGAAGGACTTGCTGCCTAGAGCAGGCCCGAATTGCCCTTCCGGCTCGAAGATCCGAGGAAATCTTTGTCGCTGGCAGCTCCGAAGAGGGTTCCCCCATCCTAAGTCTCTGCAGCAGCATGAGCGAG